AAGCTCCAGTGAACAGTCCACATTTAACAGCCCATTGCTGCTTGAGAGCTGTCAGCGCTAAAGGGGAAATCCTGAAAAATACTGTGTTTAGTGACTGTGTCGATACTCTTTGTATTACCTTTCCTTCATTTTTATGATCAAGAGCACAGAATAGAAGGTCAGAAGTGACCTGAGCTGCAAACTTCAAGGTGCTTTAATCTACCAAGAGTAGTGACCAGATAAATTCATGCACGAGCTAGAGTGAAGATTTTTCGCACTGTGGTTAGCTTCCTAAGAGAGCTTATGGGTTTTGCAGCAGTTGGAGTCTTCAAATCAAGACATGATGTCTTTCGTAGACAATTCTCCACCTCATCTGCCGGATTTGGAGGGAATGCAGGAGCAGTGGGTGACATTTGTGGCCTTGTGTTATGTAAGTGGTTTGGTAACGTAATGGCAATTTTTGGCCTTACGCAGTTCTGGCCCAATTTTGATTTTTATCTTCCCGAGCCCCCGCAGAACTGGTTTCCGTGAAGCATCTGCCGTATCCTGAAGCAACCTCCAAAATACTGATTTAGAAGTAGATTTGGGTTTCAGAACAACAATGTTGTCCTCAAATCAGATATGCAAGATTTCAGGCTCAAAAGCACTCGTGTCTAGAAATGTATCTTCTGTGGTTGCTTATTTCTTATCAGATACTTCATCACCAGTGAACTTTTTGTATGTTTTCTAGATAATCATGCATTAATAGTCTAAAAGATTTAGTTCAGGGCTATATTCTTGGAACCCTTCACACCCTCCTGTCTCGCACAGGTGAGTCTGGGCAGAGGCCGGATTATTTAGGTGTCAGAAGAGCCCTGTTGTGAAAAACACACCTCCCACCTTCCTGCTACATCCCTTCGGAAAATTGCCCTTGGCATCTATTGTTCAGCGTTTCCTAAAACTCTCACCAACTTTATGTAATTTGAAGCCAGCTCGGGCAGGCAGACCCTTACGGACAGATATAACATGTAGCTCATGGAGTAAGTGAGCTAGTGAAGCCTCATTTTCTTAGGGATTTGTGGCTTATGTTGGATTCACTGATGCTTGATAATAGCTGAGTTCATAGTACTGCCCTTCTACCAGAGGGCAATGATGTAGTTTCCCTCCTTTCTTTAGCCATTGATTTTCATGTAGCTTTTAAGAAGCTAGTATTTTCAAGTTTTCTAATGCCTGTTCGATTTCTTTGACTTTTGCCAATAGTACGAAAGGAATTGGGAGGGAGAGAGGGAGGATAGAACAGGGTAGATACAGATGCAGACATACACAGAGATATCTTTTGGAAACCAAGCCAAATATTTCAGGTGAATTATAGAATCCTGTTAGTGTGAACTACATTGTCTCCCACCAAGAGGAAAATGTCTGATGTATAACAAAACCCCCTAAAATACAAGAAAAAAGTCTCTTCTATAGTTTTGGGCTGCTCTTTGCACTGCATAATGAGGTAAAATCCTGTAGGCTGAGTGTGTGTGTCTCAGCCTTAAAATGTCATGGTAATCCAAGATGGTGCTATCTCAGAGAGCGAACAGCAGGACAACAGTACTCTCTTTTACCTAAAACAAAGGAAAAGTAAGTTGAATTGTGCACACACCATGTAGTGCACTGAAGGAGAGGTTCTGCTGCTGTCAGCTTCTAGTTGGAGGGAAGCCCGTGAAAACATGGATAGCATAAAGAGCCTGTCTGGATGAGAGTCAGATGTAGGAAGGATGCGTGCCCATGAGCTGGAGCAATGCCGTGTTAGGTGACATGCAAAACAGGCCGGGATGTTGGTGACATGGCATGTTGCCTGGCTGTGTGTATGTGGCTGACATACAGACACATCGCCGCTGCTGCTTCTCCAGGAGTGTCAGTCACCAGAGGGCTTCTGCCAAAAGGGACCTAGTTAAGAGGAACTTACTCAAATTGATCTTTGTGGTCAAAAAGAAATGAGCTGCTGCCACATGTTTGTACTAAGATATGTAAGAGGAGAGTCAATTACGGACCAGATAAGGGTCCTTTGTTACTGCCTAGTGGATGTTCCCAGTTGAACACGGTGTCCAGATTTCTTACCGTCAAGCCGGTGGCTCGAGTAAGTGTGGGAACAAGAGAGCATTAGCGGGATAGTTCTGCCAATTATCCCGTGGTTGAATAGTGTGAAATAATAGGTGAGGGAAACATTAGAGCATCGGTCTCTCTGCATAGTAAACGTAGCAGCAGTTGAAAGAAGTTGTGTTCTGGTATGTCCGACCCAGTACACAGCCTGCTTTTGCTCTGGTGTCTGGAGGCGTCTTGCCACCGGCATCAGTGTGAGCTGGCTGGTAGTTCTCCACTAACATGGTTCACAGTATTTCTGAGACAAAATGATACTGAATGCAGCCCTTTTGTTACCCTGTCAAGAGCAGTCTCCGCCATGAGAGCTGGACGGATGGATGTTTTATGTTTGTAACTTTTTCCCCAGCCTGCTGTCCACTAGCTGGACCTGGAATTTCTGAACACCTTCCTGCGTGATCAGCTCCGCCTCACCGGATCACTGCTTTTTGGGGAGAGTGTCCTATGGATCTGCTTTTGCTCCGATCCACTTATGAGCAGTTCCAGAGGCAGAGAGTTGAGATGGCCTTGCTGGGAACAAGGGCAGAAAATAGCTCAGTGTTAGCATTCCAAAGCCAACTATTTAGACGTGGATTATTTTTAAATATTTGCTTTGGGACATGTAACTAGCTGCATTTTCCTCCTCTCTCTCTTTTCTCTTTTAAAGTTAGCTTTGATTTTGCATCTTCCCCCACCCGGATGCATGCAGTCAAGAGTATCTGTGCAAAAAATAGGTTATTTACATTGCCAAATGTTAGGTATCTAAGTTACCTGCTGCTTCGGAGATGCTGTTGGCTGCAATGGGAACCTGGGGACTTTCTGAGCTTGGGCGTATGTTTGCAGCGGGGGTTTGCTGGCCACTTGATTTGACAGGGAGGAGGACAGCAGCGAGAGGAAAGTGCTGCAGCCACCTTACCTCACCCGGCTGTCATCGCACACCATTGGCCTGAAACACAGCCTCGTGTGATGCCCTGTGCGAAGGGTCAGTCCATGGCCACCCCATCCAATTCGGGTAGTCCTGGTGTTCAAGTACAAAGTCCTTCACTGAGGGTTGTGTGAAATGCTGCTGCTGAATCTGTAGTGTCTTGCAGCCACTTCACAGGGTGGGACGTGATAACACGTAGGGCTGTTAGGGCGCGTCGTGTCCCTAGAGCACTGTACAGACCTTAATTCATGCTCTGCAGATGACGTGGGCCCAGCAGGGAGCATGCATCCCCTTCAAATTGCAGCTGCTTGGCCTGGGGGAGGCCCATTTTCAGGCTAGCCCCAGCTGCTAGCCATTAGCCCCTTTTTAGGTGTTACAGACCCTCACATCTGGTGGCTCAGCCATCAGCACAGGGTTCAGACAGACCTACTGCTCAAAGTGGTTTTGGTAACCCATGCTCATTGTTGGAGTCCAGACTGGTTTAGATCAAATTAAGCTCTTGGGCACTGAGGCCATTTCTTGTGGGAAAGAAAGAGCAGATTCTGTTTCACCTTGTAAATCACAGTTTATAACGTTGATGCAGCTTGCTGGCTGTTTAAATAACTTGTTAAAAATTGTAAAACCTGAAACATGGGACTGTCTTCTACAGGGATTAGCAGGGCAGGTGGAGGGACAGAGCTCAGATAAAGCACAGGAGGGGAGTTTCTCACTCTGGGACACATTTGTGGTGTACCCCCTGACATGTCTCAGCTATGGAGGCTGAGCTCCAAGAGGCCACTGAGGGTTCCCCATTAAATTGGGGCATTTGGGCCAGCACAAGGTGGTACTGGGAGCAGGAAAGGCAGGACAAGATGTTCTAGCCCTTCATCAGCCCATTTTCCACCTAGTGCCACACAGATCATCTTACAGGTGTGCTGGTCCTGCCCTCCCGAGTGACACTGCGACTCGGGGCATCTTCTTCCCCTTTGCTTTCCTAGGAGCCTAAAAGAGATGGGAAAACTCAGAGACTCTTTTCAGGAAATACGTACTATCCAAAAGGGTTTTTCTTACTGCCGTAGCTGTCCCACAGAGAAGCAGCTGACTTGTGGTCTGTAGCGCCCACCCGAAGGCTGGGATGATGCTTCTTACTGCTAGCAAGAGCCCTGCCTCTGGCTGCACATGGCTAGAGAATAAAGCTTGTAACTCAGGAAGGAGGCAGTCATAATATCTGTTTGTAAGGGGTGAGAAAGAACTGCTTGTTGGATGGGTATAAAAGAAACCTTTAATTCCAGCCAGGATAGTCTAAAGTGTTAGCCAAGTGGTGGTTAAAGAGCACAGTACCGCCAGGCTTTTGTACAGGGGTGCAGGGAGGCTTTTGGGGAGCCAAATGCTGTTCTTTACCCTCACAGAGCAGAAAGGTTTATCTTATTGATCAAACTGCAAAGGTGATCTAAATGCCATTTTAAGGAAAACTGAAATTATTTGTATGTGCTGTATTTGGAAATAAGGGCAGGAGTGACACTGGTGTTATCTCCGCTGCTGCTCTCTGCAGCCAATGCAGCTGGTTTTACTCCATGCAGTTCAGATTAAATGTTGATTTTTGCAGAGATGACGTACCCCTGCTGACACCAGTGGAGTTGAATTTATGAAAGATACTCCAAAACCTTAAAAAAGAAAAAGGAATTTTAGCTGCTGTTCACTGCGTAGACCCATTACGTAGCTATCCTTGTAGGTAGGAGGGTGTTAATACTGCCTGGATTCACCAAGAAGCCGTGTCCTCCTTCCCTGCAGTTTGTAAATACCAAATCAGTCAGCAAATCAGTAATTGTAAATTCAAACTAATACCACTTTCTGGTGTTTTTTTTTTTCTTCTACATAGCCTTCTGGCACTCTGTAAAAAGATCTGGCACACTACATAGGATTAGGCGGCTTTGAAGCAGCGGGGTCATCTGTGTGTGAAACTTTGATTTCCTGTGTCTTGAAATGAACTGTTATTTCTATCTTTCCTTTTCAGAAAACCCCCACAGCTCATGCCATGAAGGAGGAGAACTTTCTTCGTCGCAGGTTCTCCCTCTGTCCAGCCTCATCCACCCCTCAGAAGGTCGATCCTCGCAAGCTGACGCGCAATCTGTTCTTCGGGGCCGACAATGACATCTACCCGCTCAGCCCAGGTTGGTGTCTGCTGTGTCAGTGCAGAAAGTCGGGCGTCTTAGGTGCCTGACTGCAAGCAGGTATTTTAGCTTGCTGCCAGGAAACAAAGTTCGTCTAAGAGAGAGAGAAGCTGTTGCAACACAGGTATTACTGGACCCCAGGCAGTGCTGCTTTCATGATGCTGTTGTCTTTCATTGCCATGAAGTGGGAACGGAGGGCATCAGAGTTGGGGTTGGTAACCATTTCAAAACTGCATGTTTTCACCTTTCAAAAATGACTCATGTTTTCGGGCACTTCTACTTTGATGTGTTTCACCCTAAGCGTTGGTCTCATTTAAGATTTACTGGCCCCATTTGCAGACATTTAATGGCAGGTTTCCCTGTCCAGATTTAGAGCCCAGGAAAAATATTGCAAGACCAGAGTTTCTGTGGTTAATGTTCTGTAAATATCTACAAGCACTACAAGTACCAGGGATCTTGACAGGTTGCAGTGAATGGCAGACTGGCTTTAAGCATTCTCTTTACATCTTTGCTTTGAATTTCCTAGCACCTTTTTTGAAGGAAATAGAGCTCATTTTATTGTTTCAGAATTTGGTGCTCACTGTAAACGTTCAAGTCTTTCCTTGATTGCAGTCAGCAAACAACGCTTCCGTTCCAGTCTGTAAACAAGTGCTTCAGGGAACAGTCACAAGTTTGTAGAGCTGTCATTTGCAGCTGCTATGTCAGCGCTAAATAATCAAACCTCGCAGCACCTTCATGAGCTCTCAAAACACTGATATCTAGAGAAAGAACATAGCATCTGTCAAAAGGCTTCAGTGCTCATATAGATGTAACACCCAGCAGACTCTCGGGGTTTGCAGATGGAGAGCAAAACCAGGTCTGGGTTTCCTGAGCTAATTGTCTTTAAGTGCAAAGGTTTTGAGGGCCTCTGATTTTGCAGGTATTTCTGTTTGTGGGTGTCTGCTTCAAGGGAGTGGGAAGCCTATTTTCGGCAGCGCTGACTAATCCTGGCTGTCACTGAGCTCGCTGTAAGCTTCAACAACCTTTTAGTAATCAAACTGAGATCAATTTAAATGAGACATCTAAAATCTCATACATTTCAAGCCTGTAGGGACTCTGAACAGCTAGCTGCCCTTAAGTACAGTCCACGCAAATGTGTGGTAAGTTAATAGCTGTTTCGCTTCTGTCCTTGGGAGCCGAAGGACTGATTTTTTGGGCTGTAGTCACTTCCCCTTGCTTCAGGGAAATGGAGAGTCATAGTTTAGGGTTTGTCCATTCTTCAGTTCTTCGCAGCATTTTCAGTGCTAAAAAAGTTACTGACTTCCTCACAGAGGTATTTCAGTGCTATAATCTTTCAGAAACCAGTGAAAGTTGGGGGTTTCAGTGCGGAGGAGGTAACTGGAGGAGTTTGTCTCTTCCTTAGCTTCCCCCATCACCTTCTTTCTCCGTTATCCCTGCTGGCAGCTGGATCAAACAGCCTTTGTGGGGCTCAGCAGACCAAGTGCCTTGAGCCACGCTGGAGCTTTTGTTCTGCTGCACAGTTCTCCCGAGTAACCCCCAGCACTGGCGTCAGCGAGGGCGGTAGCCCTGGGTATTGCAAAGTAAGAGCGTAGGCCAAAGAGTTTGTAAGGGAGAGAATTTCCCTTTTAAACAAACAGAAGCTACTGCTTCAGCCAGGGGATTTCTTGCAGAGAGTCTACGTTTTTGTCTATCTGTATGCTTTTATTTATTCCTTTCATGGTCCCCACAGAGCTGCCTTGTCTCTTAGTTTTCCTCACATTTCCCGTAAGAACTGTCATTCAAATTCAGTTGCCATTTCCCGTGGCCAGCTCTCCTTTCACTCCTTTGCTGCTGCTGCTGATTTTCCTCTGAGCGTCACGTGCTTCCCTGCACCTTCTCCTGTCCCTCTGGAGGAAGCTGCTATCATGATAGATAAGCCACAGGTCTATGTCCATAAGCTGCATCCACTATTTCTCCTGCCCTCATTGTTCTCTATTGTTTTACATGAGCTTTGAGTTCCTGGGGCTTTTCCAGTGGTCTGTGTTTTGCTGTTGGACCCCAGCAGATTTCTTTACGAGGGTGCTGGGCTGATCATGTAGGGTGGGTGCTGTGGGCAGCAAAAGCCAGTGATTTCCTGCCAGGAATTTGGTGGGCTGCGAGGTGGCTGGTGCTGCAGGTCTCACAGCACCAACACCTAGAATTAGCCCTCCAGCCACAAAGGTCTGCAAGTAAATAATGCAGTGAGAAGGGAGTGACAGACTTTACACCTCAGGCAAGTTATGCTATAAAGATTCAGTTCAGCAAGATGATGTTTTCTTAAAGGAAACATGGGGAATGAAGAGGGCACTATCAGCAGTAACACTTTGGACTTTTGCCTCTTGCTTGCATACAAAACTGCTAATGATTGTGGTAACTGAAAGAAATTTGAGGAAGAGACTTTCTTTTTATAGGAAGTTCATGAACTGGAGAGACATGAATTCATATTCTTTGCCCATGTCTGTCTTTCCCTTAGTAATAAGGAGACAGAAGTTTTCTCTGTTTTCTCTTTTAGAGATACAGTGGTTTAGGCCCAGCCAGCAACTCGGCACCACTCAGCTGCTCGCTCACTCCTCCTCCTGTGGGATGGCAAGGAGAAAATACAAGGAAAGGCTCATGGGTTGAGACAAAGACAGAGAGGGATCACTCACCAGTTATGGTCCTGGGCAAATCAGACTCGACTTGGGGAAAAAATCAATGTAATTTGTTACTAATCAAAGTAGAATAGTGAAAGAAGAGATAAAACCAGATCTTTAAAACACCTTCCCCCTATCCCTCCCTTCTTCCCAGGCTCAGCTTTGCCACACATCACCTACTCCCATCCAGCCGTGCAGGGGGACTGGGGATGGGGGTTGTGGTCAGTTCATCACATGTTGTCTCTGCCGCTCCTTCCTCCTCAGAGGGGGGAACTCCTCACACTGCCCCTGCTCCAGCGTGGGATCCCTCCTGTTGGGGACAGACGGCTGCTCTGGAAGCTCAAGAGACATTAGAGCTTCTGCCATGTCTGTGACAGCTGCTGCTGACTTCAAGAGAATCAGGATTTTCCCTTGTTGGTTTTGGATTTGGAGGTGTTTCCAAGACTGGACCACACAACGTTAGAAAGCATTTTTTAACAGTTCCCATATTTGCCGTGTGCTACAGATGGATTATATTTCACTGTCTGGGTGGTTCTTTACTGCATCCAGTGTTCTGAAGCCCTGATTGCAGACAATTTGGAGAGGAAAACTACATTGCAATTGGATAACAATGACTGTCTTGGCACTAAAAAGCTAGGCTCATCAGATGCCATTTTTTGGCTTTTTTTTTAATAGAAGCTCTATACTCTCTTTACTGTAAGGACATGGTGACAGTTGGCCACAAGAACAGAATTTATCATTACATTTTATTGCTTGGACTTGGACTGCACACACTCACACCAGTATATCATGTGTATAACGTACTGCAGGTTTAGTATTTTTGGGTAGTGGAAGTGTATCTCTGCAACTGGAAAATGTTACAGGTTTATAAATACTACTTTTTAATTGAAAATGTTTCTTATTTTAACAAGTAACTTGGTCAGAAGATGTTGATCTGCAGTTGGTTTTTTTTTAATTTTGTTTTACTGATTATGTCTAGATGCTGTTGTGTCTTCTGTAATGTTTTATGATCATGATTACTATTTGTCAAACAAAGCATGCTTTCAACTGCTTCTGTATATAGTTGCCAGATACTGACCAAGGAGGGTAATGTATTGAATAGCTGCTTATTAACTGAATTCCATTCATTATTTGCATTGAATGAGGCATGGGTTATGTAAGAAAAGAACAGACTGTAGTAATGTAATTAAAGACTGCAACATAATGCAGACACAGAATGGAGCTGATTAGGGATGCATAAGCAACCTTATTTCTCTTGTTTTCTAGCCTTTGTATGCTGGACTTTGCAACCATCACGTTGGATTATCACAGTGTTTCAGACCTAACTTTTAAGCAGTACTTGTTGCATAGCCCAAGTATGTGGATCCAGGCTATTAGAAGCTCTCCAAGATCCCTCTCTGTGATCCTGGTGTGCCTGCTTCTGCTCATGACAGCTTCTCTTGCTTGCTGTTAGCAGTAGCCCTTCTAAGACCACAAGTAGCCACGGTTTTGCACAGAATTTATCCGTTTCTGAATCACATTTGTTTTTTGCAGGAAAAGATGTGGAAGGAAACAGCCCGACAGCGCTGAAGGATGAGACACCACAGACTCCAAACTCCATCAGTAAGGTACTGTGAGATAGGGATCCATCCCTAGTCTTGCTTTCATTTCTTCTCAGGCTGTTATTAACCATTCTTACTCTCCTTCTAAAAAAGTCATTGATAAAGCCTCCCCCCTTGTTCCTGCAGGAACTGTGCGTGCATGTGTTGAGAGAAAGAAAATGAGTGGTTTTGCATGGTTGGGATAACAGAGGAGCCCACACTTTCCTCTGACTTAATAGCACCTACCGCAGAAGAACCCTGTTTACTTGGGCCTCATTTGGCAGTGTAATTAGATGTGAATAATTACGATTGAAAGGTTGATTTTGTCAGCAGAGGTGTCTCCTGCTGTTCCTGATCAGCAAAGCAATCATAAACCTTAATTGTTTTGGAAGAGAAAGCGGTAATATTTAGTATAGTGCATAGCATCTGAAACTGTGAGTACAGATCTTGAGAGAGACTTTTGGGAACTGGTGTAACTGGAGAGGAACGCAAGGTAACCAGCATTTCCTGAATGCAGCGTTTCCATCCAGCCTGTTAAGGACAGGTAAAACTGGATCTAAAGACTCCGCGTCTGGGTGTTCAAAACTTGGCTCCACATCTAGAGGTCCTGAGGGCCTGGGTTTGATTTCCTGTAGAGATAGAATCAACCTTATGAATTAGGTCTGGCTTTGAGATTCATGTACGGCCTTTTTTGGCTGAAGCTCCCTAACACATTTTTGGAGGGTGACTAGGAATAGAAGCAAGGGCTGTTAATAAATTTTTAACTAAATTTATTCAACTATGAAGCTACAAAATGCAAATGACACCAGCTGAAATGAAAATATAACATGAAGGAAGCAGCTGAAGACAAGTGATATCTTACGATACATGAAAATAGACTCTGCATCTTCAAATACATTTGGCTGTACTTGCCTGGATCTTGCGGGTTGTTCTGCTGGGATTCCCTGGCAGAAGTCAGCACAGGGAGATGGTGGTGAGAGGAGCTTTGGGAGCAACAAGGGCTCATGTACCTGTTGTCTGCTATTGCTGGAACCTGGCAAGCTGCAAACCAACCTTGGTTTTGCTTTTTCAGGCAGGTACCTCATAGGAACCCAGCCTCTCAGTGATACAGGCAGTGAGGAAAGCCCAATGACCTGGTAGCTGCATCCAGGGTTTGGTTTTAAAGCCAGATGTTTTGCACACCACAGGGAGTGGTGTGAAATTCCCAATGACTAGAATGTGGAGAAGAAGGATGTTTTCTGGACAGGACCACTCAGAGCCCTGAAACGCTGTATGAAAGGGAGTTTGATTTCTGAGGTGCAGGATGAACGCAAGAGTAGGAATGTATTTGTGAAAGGTATCTGGGTGAGAGCATGGCCCAGCTGTATTTTCCCAGCCTCAGGGCCTGCCTTGCTATTTAGCCTCCTACAGGCATGTTTTTGAAAGGAGAGGCACCCTTGGAAAATTTGGGTGCCCACCTAGATTGCTGCCATGCTGCATGTGCACCTAGGAGGCGTTGGCGGGTCTCTAACAGTGTCAAGTGCTCTTGTTAAGGAGAGGTAGGAGAAAATGCACAGCACAAACCAAACCAAAATCATCAGATTTTGTGATTCAGAACAAATGGGTGTCTGAATCTGGACATGAGCCTTGCTTTCACAACCCATGACTTCAGTTTTACAGTAGTCAAACTTCCGCTGAAGCAACAATGGACTAAACCCAGATATGAGGACCCCAAAGCACGATGCTTCAACTTGCCCACACACTTGCAGTGTCACAGGCACTTGCTTTGGCTACTGCGTGGGCCACAGCTATGTTTTCTTAACTGCCTGAGTGTTCTGCAGAGACACACGATGTTTGATTCAGAGACTTTGCTCCTCACTGGACCTGTGCTGTGGCGCCTGTCATGCTCACTTCACTTTGCTTTGCCCTGTTGTACATTACCTTGTTCTTCTCCAGCCACTTTGTTTTTCTTCCACCTCACTTTGCAGTGCCAGTGACATTAAGGAGTCCTTATTGTGAAATTATTGTACCTTAAAAATTTAGGCAAACTGTTAGTCAGTTTGCATATTATTTCTTTTTGCACATCCACTCAGCTCGAAGGCTGTAAAATGAAACCTTACTGTCAAGTGTCCAGAACTGTAAGTAGGGGTCTGTCACAGTATTTCAGTTTAAATTAAATAGCAATTCCACCTACTTGAACCAAAGGCAAGAGTGTGTGCTAATTGGGTTGTGTTTAGATTCCTGATAGCAGGGGGGAAATAATTTTTAGAAACCAAACTGTAGGGTGTGCAGATTTAATTAATGGCTTCAGCAGTAAATGTTCTAGGTAACCGATCCTTGCCATGAACACTTACCCTTCTTTTGGCCCTGTGGGTATAACAAACCCTGTTGGAAACCAGTGTTCCTTCACCAGCGCTATTTTGATGTACCACACCACATGGACTCACCCAGTAATGAGGAGGAAAGCCCGGGGAGTCATTCGGTCCCTCACTGGGGTTTAGGGGACCTCGAATTCCCAGCTCTGACTTGAAGTCCCTGCATTTCCCCAGACAGTTTAATTGCATTTCTGTTTCACATCTTCATCAGTCAGGTGGAAGTGGTTCCACGTTTTGTTCACTCGAGCCTTATCCACACCGCATGACAGAGCAGGCTGCAGGTTTCCCAAGTTAGCAGACACCAAGGGGAATACCTCATGAAAACCCTACACACGTCCGTGAACTCCTGAGCTGTGAAGCCATTGAACTGCAGCCACACTACCCCGTGCTTGAGCTTGTAGATGGATGGCAGGCCTATGGCTGAGGTGTGAACGCATCCCGATTGTCCTGTCCGTACACTGCAATATTTGATGCTGGAACGTAGTTTTTCAATGTCTTTGTGCAGTTCATAGCAATATATATTTCTGATTTCAGTTGTGGCTTCTCACACCAAATTTTATTAAAACAGATTTAAGGCACAGTTCAACTACATATTATATTGCTGCAGCCTATTTTCTCCTATTTCATTTTTCAAGTGGAATGTCTTTCATCTCCTTTTTCAAGGGGAAAAAAAGATACTAGCTTATTTATTTCAGATTGTTTCTCATATTAGTTTCTCTCTTTTTTGGAGCTCTTTAGTCTTGTTTTCTGGGGCCAGTGCTCATAGTGGAGTGTGAAACTATCACAGAATCTAAGCCTCAAACCTGTCTCTGCAGCCAGGTAGTACAGTTAACACGTGCCTGACAGTGGCAGGAGATGCCTTTCTCTCATTTTGTGCCACCTGCAACACTGTTAGTGTCCTTTAAGGCACATTTTATTGCAGTATGCAGTGCTGCATTTTCTCTTTCTTCCCTTCCTATGCCTACCTATTTATTCTAGTGTCTGGAGAGCAGCTGGGGGGTCTCTCAATATTCATGCAGAGCCTGCAAAGAATGGAAATGTGTTTTAAGGGATAGTCAAAAAAATCTTGAAGCTGGTACTCAGTGGTACTTTACTCTTTTCAGTCTCCCACTAATGCCACAATGAAGTCTAAAATTATCACATTGTAGGAGTGTGACTGTTGTGCGTACAGTTACATGACATACGGGAGGGCAAAGCTTGGATTGCTTTGTTCATTGTGAATGAGTTTTTCCACATGCCTGAATTGTTCAAGTCTTTATTGTCTAATTTGTAACCTGAAATATGAAACTAAGTGGCTGCTAGAAATTTATTTTAGCCGCAAAGTTTGAAACAGCTCATACCGACCACTTGAGATTTCAGCTACAGCTCCCATGCTGTCTCAAACTCATCCTTCTAGGTCCATGACTCATGCTCTTAACCTCCGAGTTAATTCCAGGTGTGGTTACATTTGGGACTATTGTAAAAGATCAAGGGCTACCTTTCCCTCTCTTCTCTTCCCATAGCCAGCAAACTGAGAAGTCATTTGTCAGAGATGCGGATGTTGCAGGAGTCACCTCAGAGAGGAGGAGCAAAACCTCCCGTGTGTGTGCTAAGCGCAGTTTTATAAGAGAACCTGGTCCTTCCAGGCGGTGGTATGCTTAACTGCCCCTTGCTGGCTTTCCATTACCATACTTGATGCTCTCGATGTCGTGGATGGAATTATTTTGGAGCTAGTTGTCCCTGCCAAGACTTACACTCGGTTCCTGTGCCCTGGCTCAGGTACACCTTGCTGCTTCAATTCCAAGTACAGCGTTTTAGGGTAATTACTGCTGTCCACAGAGGGCTTTGCAGCTGATTTCACATGGGTGACATGTAGTCTGGAGCATCCTGGGAAAATGGCATAGAAGTGGGGTGTGATTTAGCACTGAGAGGTAGAAAACATGGAGCATCCCTAACTTACATTGGTGCATACAAGCCCTGAAACTGCCAGGCCCCTCACAGAGGGGATCATAGACAGTAGTAACTGTGTGCTTACAGAAATGAAGTCTCAAAGTTGATGGCTGGGTAAGCCACAGCCTGTCGTGTCACCTTGGCTCACTGGTGATCATAATTCCTTACTCTAGTATTTCTGATGGGGGAGATGAGGGGAAATGGAGGTACTAAAATTGAAATTATGTAGTAAATTTAGCAAAGCAGATTTTAAGCTGAAAGTCCAATTGTTTTTCATTGTTCACTTTCTTGATTTGTTTAAACTCAGCCTAGGAACGACAGCTGTACCTATAGAGGGGAAAGCAAAGCTTTGCTATTTCTCCTTAGCACTACAAGTGTGAATAGTCATGTGAAACGGCCTCTTTCTCAGTGTGCAACTTCCCATCTCACCTAAAATGTTCTTTGAATATGCTAAACTTGCCAAACATTCTTCCCATGAAAGGCACACTTAAACGATTGTAGAGAAATCCCATGAGGTTGGTGACTTTTTCTTTAATTACTGTAATCTGCCCAGTGGAGCAAGCAAAGCGTTCCACTGAACGGTAGTATAACTTGATACTTGGGATTGCTTGGATAGCTAGATTTCACCAATGTTCTTCCCCAGATACTGCTGTCATGCCAGCTATTTATTTGTACAGGCTTTTCAGTTTGTGCTATTTCAGTGTTGCAAACACAGTAGCTGTGTCTTTGTAACGTTGTGTAAAT